TTCTCAATTGGTAATATGGTATGCCTACTTTATGTATGCTTTCTTATACTTTCATTAAAATCTACTTAGATTATTAGCAGCCAAAAATCAAGTTTTACAGAGTTTTAGATTCAAATTGTTTTTGGGAGAGCATTTTAACCTTATAACACCATATCTTACTAATATTATAAATGTGAAAGTTTGTGTATTTGTTTGTTTGTTTGTGTGTTGCTCAATCACGCATTAACTAATGGACGGATTGGGCTGAAATTTGGCATTATGATAGCTCATATTCCCGATTAACATATATAGGCATCGTCTTATCTCAAAAATCCTTTCGGGATTCGCCCCAGTGGCTCTGTAGTTTCCCATGTTAACCTTATGAGTATTCATATATAAAGGGAATTAAATAATTTAGTCAGCTGTTTAAACTAAAAAATTGGTTCTATGATATGCAAAAAGTATTAAAAAGTTATAAGGTTTCCCAACAGGGTGCAGCACTATTATTATTTTGTTTTTGCATATTATCTTTGACTATTAATTTGTGATAATGTGCAAATGTTTGATAATTTATTTTTTTCTATTGTTAAGGTACAGTAGTAGAACATTATGGCAATAGTAGATGTGTTATACCTTAAATTTATGAACCAATTTTTTTTCAAATTGTGTCTTCCTCCATTGCACAGCTTGAGTATAACTGCAATAAGCATTTTATACTTATATGCCAACCCCATACGAAGGACGGGTGCTCTGCTAGTTCATATATAAAGGGAATTAAATAATTTAGTCAGCTGTTTCAACTAAAAAATTGGTTCTATGATATGCAAAAAGTATTAAAAAGTTATAAGATTTACCAACAGGGTGCAGCACTATTATTTTTTCATTTACGAAAACAGCTAATTTGAACTAAGCAGCAACAAAAAACTGTTATAGGCAATGAGAACTGCCAAAGTAGGATTGTTTACAGTTATGTTTATGTTTTTAATTGCATGAATAATTTTTGATATTTTGCAAGTTTTTAATGATTTAATTTTCTCTATTATTTAGGTGAAGTGGTAGAACATTATAGCTATGGTAGATGTGTAATACTAAAGTATACCGTAAATTTAAAGAAGCAAATTTTATCAAACTGTGTTCTCCCCCATTGTAAACGCTAGGTTAAAGTATAACTGCAATAAGTATTTTACACTTATATGCCAACCCCGTAAGGACGTTCACTCTGCTAGTTAACAGTATGAAGCCTAAAACAATCACTGGAATAGTTTTTACTAAACACACATAATTAATACGAGTAACGATAGCTTCTAATAATTACTCCAGGGAAGCAGCGTAAACTGTATAGCATGACATGATGTAATCTACCGTAATGTGGCGCTATCTACAAGTGTTCTAACTAGGGCTGAACATTGTGTATAATCGTTTCAGATTTCCTCCGACAAACTTATACTCCTTCTTTTGAGTAACATTAAGGTTTCAAATACAAAACCGCATCAAAGAACAAAATTGCCTGGAAATAACACAGTTAACTTGTGGCAATATAAGGTACTACATTTCACTATGGCTGCACTTATTAAATAAAAAATATCGATATATAGATTATTCGAAACATCGATTATTTCATTCGGTTAGTTAGGTTAGGTTTTAACCTAACTAACCAAACCTGATATATCGAATTGAACAATCGATATATCGATCGATATATTCATTCGAATGAGTGTAGGACGTAACAAAGTCCAGCCCCTTTCACTATTGATGTGACATCTAATTCCCATCTTGAAGCAGCCAGTTTTAGAAAAAAAATTGAAGCCAGTGACAAAGTATGACGATGCAAATTATTATTTTTTGTTTATTCAAACTACGCTTAAATTACAATTTCATTGTGCGTCGTAGCCTCTGAATCTCTAGATTGTTACAACAATAGGCTATTTTACGGTAAAATAACCAGGTAAAATTTTTACCTGATACCACCAAGTAATCCTATACATTTTTAATGTTTGCCTTTTACGTGTTTCGTACGACGAATCTTCACACCGTCCAGGTTGAAGAGGATTACTGACATTTAATATCCACGTAGACTTGACAATGAAGGCATAAAGTCTTCGAAACCATGGGAGTCCAACTACAAGAACAGAATCACTGATGGGCGAAACATAACCTAGTATTCATTAAATCGTTAAAGTCGATTGGACAGGATTGGAAGGGATGACGAGTTGGAACAACCTTTAAAAGTAGAGGACGAACCGCAAGTTAGTTGAACAATTTACATATTTTGGTGTTGGGGCCTATCGAACGTTGGTAGAATGGCACAAGAGGTAACGGCTAGACTGGGGAAAGGTGCGGGATTTTATCAGTGTTAGCCATCTAGTCAGGGATAAAGATATACGAAAGACTTCAAAAGGCAGCATGTATAAAACTTATTATACACCGATAGTTACCTATGGTGCAGACATTTTGAATATAACAGAGAGGGTATGGGGTAGAGTTCAGGTGGAGGAAATGAAATTTGTAAGAGGCTAAAGGGAAAACAAGAGTGGATAGAATTATGAATGAAGAGTTAAAAGAGGAATAGTTGAAGAAAGTATGAGAGAACAAGTAGAGAAGTCGAGATTGAAATAGAATGGAAAATGATAGAATGCCCCCCCAATGAAGTATGAGCTTCACATGAACGGAAGAAGACCAAGAGGAAGACCTAGAACAAGGTGGATTGGCGAGGTGAGAAGAGATGTGGAAGCAAGAGGAGTGCAGTGGCAGTGGCAGTATGTTGAGGAAGACGATTTATGGATGGACAAAAGAAGATGTAGATGCGTAATTAACACCCAGACTCAGAGATAACCGGACCGGGGAAGGATACGTATGTATGCATAAACTAACTTAATATCAAAGACTAAGGAGTAAAATAGAATGTTGATGGTAGCGCAACCTGTGAGTGACTCAATCCACTATGTTCAATTTAAATACAAATTTTGCTACATTTGGTCCATATTCAGATGGGACGCTTACTTTAGTATCCCAAATGTGATGGTTCTAAGAAGTTAACCGTATAGAAAATCGATGGATCAATTTCCGAATTTATGTTGGCTCTATCAAAGTGATTTCATCAGTTTCATATGATGGAAATATTCTAAAGTGGCAAACAAAGACAGAGTAGTGAGAATATAACGACTAAATCCTTATAAATAAGAACAAGAGCGATTCTTTTCAATCCTGTGCTAACGAATTGCTATACCTCTGCTTCGAAACGGGAAGAGGACACGAGAGAGAATAATGATGTTGTTTCTATGTGTTCTATAAATAGTTACTCATTACTTAAAAACAAAAATCAATTTTCCCACTTAGTGTAGATAAACTATTTTTCTTCAATTTTATTGAGGGGCACCCAAGAACAGTGTGTCATCGCTGCTGATGTGTGTTAAAAATACTGTACCTCTATGAAATTCAAAAGATAAACTTATTGAAAAGTTTAGACCTACTTTCAAAACCCTACTCATATCTGCAGCCAACGCCCAAAATTAATCCAACATACCGTAGTGTAGTGATAAAATCAATTACTTAGTATTGATGTTTCATAAAAAGAAATATGTTTTACCCTAATTCTTACTTTTTTCAAGCCTCTTTTCCTGGAACTTAATATAGCAATCACAAATAAAACTATGAGCAATATTCTACTAAACTCTTCTCTATTTTTACCCCACGCTGTAAATAAAACATGTGATTGAAATTTCTTACATTTGATTAGATTTTCTCTTTATATTTTGTTGTTATTTCATCACCATTAGGACAACCCATAAGACCCATGTTAATTTTTAAAAATTTAAAATTCAATTTTTTGCGCTTATTTATGAGCCTATTTTAATTTATAAAGGGATTCTACATATTTTCTTTACGATACACACGAGCCGAGAAAAAACGTTTTAAAGAAACATGCTTGCCTATTAATATATAGATAATGTAAGCTTTTTAAGCATGTAAGGCGAAGCACTTAGAAAACCTGCGTATAAAGCACAGCCCTAAGAAATTCGTTCATACCAAAACTTTTCGTCGGATCTACACACTCTAAGCTTCATTTTTATGTCCCAAATGCCTATATTATTATTTGTTTAATGGCCTTAAACGATGAACACAAGTTTTCCTGTATCATTTTAATAATATGATATATTGTTTTTAACGTTTTTCTTTTCGGACAGTTTAGTCATTTCCTTTTAGGAATCCGTCGTGGACTTTTTAAATAAGCTTATGGCCAACGTCTAACGATCATAAAACCTCAATGAGCTAAAGACCTGAAGAGTCAATTAGAGTTTTTGAAAATATACCCTGGAAGATTTAAAAGAAAAAAGTTAATAACTACAAAATCTTCAAACAATGTTTATAACCTTTGAAATTTAGGTTTCATCAATGCCTTTAAAATGTACCCCTTTTACTACCTGAGTACCTACACGGCCACCTTAAAAGGCGGCCGTAGTACCTATCGTTGGAGTGTTGAACAACATCATCCAGTTTTCTTATTACCTATTTTTATAACACGGGGGCGTGTAGTTTTGAGCTATCAGCTGATTTAGTAGTTTTGTTTATGTTTACGTTTTATATATTTTGGTTATCAAGGTGAATAATAATTGGTAGAGTTGAATTAATGTTTTTTAAGTGGAGAAAGAATGTTCGATTTTTGGTATTGAGATTTTTCATGTATAAAATATAAGTAAGTTGTAGAAAACACTGAAGAGTTTTATTTTCTCACAAAACAATAACTGGTACCCTAGTTATAAAACCAAACAGTAACCCTAAACTGATAGAAAAAAAGTTTTGGCGACACTAGCGATCAGTGTCACCGGACATCAACTAGACTAAACGAGCTTCAAAATTTACAATGGTATGATAAGTCTACTTGTCTTAGTCTATGATTTTTACTAACTGTACACTTTAAAATCAGCTACCGACCGAACCTCCCATGCTATGATTCTACACAATGTTCAGCGTTACAAGTGCAGCAATACGCTAGCAGAGCTATCTACGCCACTACAGTATACCTTGGGCGCGCTGTTCGAATCCTCACTGGATGTGAACGTGCTGGATGTGTCAATGCCCGAGTCCTTGGTTTGAGGACCGTCGAACCTGACTGTCTTCTTGCGTCTTCGGGTGTCGATAAGGGTGACTTTGACCTCCCGAGGGGTGTCCCTTGGGTGCCACCCGTTGACGACTCCATCCATACCGAGGGAGAAGTCATTCGTTGTAAGAGAACGGGTAAAGGATGGGACAAAGAGACAAAAGGAAACACAACAACCAAACACATATAAAGAACACCGAAGGAAAGGCAAGTCAAAGTTCAAGTTGCAACGATCAATTGGGCATTTCTTTGTTTTTGATAGTTCGAATTTCATTTAAAATGTTATTAGTGTACCGTATATTGTATAAGGGTAGTGTTAATATTTTATCTTGTACTGTACCGGATCACCCCTTGCTTTGCTGGCCTACTGTTCGCAAACAGTTTCTAACTCGCCACAACCTCAGTTCACTTTTTAAATTAAATTTGACGCAGTCCATCCGGAATCCCGGTCAGAGACGAAGCCTTCAAGTATTTGAACGGGTAAATGTGTAGATAAAAGAAACCAACAACCTCTTTAGAAAATAAGATAAAATAAAATTATGTTTTTTTGAACTTTCTGTCTATGATATCGATTGCAGGGTTGCAATAAAATTTTGTCTCGATCGGTCTTACGTTTACTATTGTTGGAAACTTATATTTTATAAACGTTGGTAAAATGTGTAATCGCCAAAAAGACTATGTTGAAATATTCCAATGAAAATGAACGAACTACAAGCAATATATGGTACAATTATGGCAAATATAGTACAATGACCATAGTGTTGTTCATGTGTGATGTGAACATAAAAAACGCAAAGTGGACAATATTACCTATTACCTATGTTACCTGAGCAATGATGTTTTACAATCACATACGAATATAAATTATGCCTATCATGTAATTTAATCTTTTCTCTATACGTATGTGATTGATGATGATTTATAGAGTTGTTTAGGCGACTCTAAATTTGAGGTCGAAATCTTCATATTATGAACTAATTGGTAAAAGACATTTCATCGGATAGTGTCCAATAGTTCTTTACAATTGACTGCAACTTGCTGTGGTCATGTTTCAAAGCCAAAATAGTGTAACGAAAACATTATTTTAATTTAACATTGTGCTTTCATGAAAACATAAACTAAAATCGAATCTACATTTACATCAGATTTCGGACAGTAGGGCCTACAGTATTAATCAAGTCCGTGTCTTTATAGGCCGAATAACTTAGGAGTGATAATTCAGAAGCAAAGAAATGCCCAATTATTGAAGAATACAAATCAACTATTGTTGTTGGTAGCACTGTAGTTAGACTGAAAGTATTTAAAAATGTATATTTTACCAACATCAATCGTTTAGGCAAGTAAAAACGAATCAGAGAAGACCTAAATCTAGGAAACAAGAGTTAGCTCGGCCCTGGATTAATGTGTTTGACAATGTATAAGCTGTAGCTTCTAGAAACTGTCAAAAAGGTAAACTATATGGATTATTCAAACTCAAAATCTTCATTATTCAATTTGAGTGCTTTAAATAGAAACCAATATTATTCATATATATTATGATGTGAAATGACTTTACACTTAGCCAAAATCAAATAGCCTGCAACCTGCGACTTGTAAGAGGTTAATTGTTTTTAACCTTGGAAAAATCAAATCAACTAGTGTGAACAACTGCTGGATCAACCATTCAGTTTGTACAACAATTGATTGTTTGTTAAGCTGGAATAGCTTAATTTAATTTCGTATAGTATGGCATTTGGAAAGTACTGAGGCGCTGTTCAAGGTTTGCCTGCCTCTGGTTGTTCGAGAAGAAGAAGAATACACATTAATCCAGACCGGCGAAGAGAGCGCTGCCATGCCACATCAAGCACACTGCCACCTGAAACTGCACATGTCCTCACCGCTAGGAATTTTTTAATCTTTTCGTCTAAAATCGCTTGTTTTTTCAGTCGCTCGTCTCCTCTTTCAGACGTGTCGAGATCACCTGTGTTTTGAAAAAAGTCAATCGTTTGTTACATTTACACTTATTAGCGAATACATTTACATTATCAATTCAAAAACTAACTTAGTCATGGATGTTGTCTTAGATAATATATTTAGTAATATATAGATAGGCAGGCTTATACATATATGTTAGTATAATCTGCGTTGGTCAATATGTTCGCACCAAAATTAGATGTATTAATGTTCAAAACTTCGCTGCATGACTGTCACTGAATAAATTTAACCGATTAAACAAAACTTTAAAAACAAATAAATACCTAAATCAGACTTTTAAGGGTAAAATATCTATGAAGAAAACACAGAGTTACTGAGCTATAAAAAGTGCCAGTTTACCAAACTGTTTGTAGTTGTCTTGAGGTGTTCTGCAAAGTAATTTCGACCTGAAATATAGGGTACTACGATTCGATAACGTATTGCGAATTGCGTGGTGACTGCAAGAACAAACATGATTAAATATTACTTAAGGAAAACTCACTTGTCAGATCCTATACGTTAAAGAGAATATCCTTGTGTTTTCTATTATTTGAAACATATTTTGAGGACAACACTTTAGTCGTTTGGTTCCCTGTAGAGTTTAGTTTAATTTTGGATTGAAAGTCACCACTTTAACACTGTCAAAAACTGGTAGCCACTGTGAACAGTTTTATTGACAGGTAAGGGACATTATCTATTCTAGTATATCCACGGTCTCTGAGGTGAGATCTGGAGGCTTGGGCCATCACACTCGTTGGTTAAACTCGTCTTTTAGAAAGGTGACAATAGGAATAGTAAAGACCTGGATTCCTTTGCAAATGGGTGGCTTTGCAATTAAAATTTAATGACAGCTAAACAGTGGGTGTATATAACAAGTTCTAGGTTTTCCTCGCAGGGATACAGCTTCTTTAAGTTAATATAGTAGACGAATTGAGGTTTCTATCATTAGCGTTCAAAAAAGTGTCTCTTCTTCCTCATACCTAATCAGTTAGATGTACAGATTTGATTTTAAAAACTAAGTGGGCGTATTCTTAGACTTCCCAAAAATAAATTTTCCAAACATTCTCCTCGAGTGAATAGAGCATCTACTTTTGTTGATGGTCTCAGACTTAAACTTTTTTGAAGAAACATCCAATATTCTAGCTACAATTTTACTTTAAAGTCCCTTCAAATTAGTTCATATATTCAGGTAAACGAATTGATATCCATTCCACGTATAATTATTCCCTTGGAAGGTTTTCGTGAGTACCTACGTATTATTTTTTGGAAGTTTATTTTTGAAGATAGTAAGTTAAACTGTCCTCAGGTGAGAAAATACCTAAAACATGACAAGATTATTACTTGTTAGTTTTTTATGAGTTGTGTTATAGTCTTGCTATATTGTCGGACTGTCGGTACTTCCTTGCCTAAAAGCGAGGTCCGATTCCCTTGAAAACTTAGTTTTTTCCAAATTGTGATGGAAACTGGCCGAAATAATCTCTTGGATAAATCCTACGTATCTTCGACGTATATCCATCACGCCTCAAAGTGGCATTCATTACAGTACAAACAGTTTAGAAAACTGGCAAAAGTAGTTTGATTGAGCTTCAAAATTATAACTTAAAGTAGCCTAATCTCAACTGTCACTCTCCTAGTCACACAAGTATCATGTACTGCGACCCTTACCTTTCTCACTGTCGTGTTCCTCGCAGCTCGTACAGTCGGGGGTGGACCTCAGTTCGTCGTCCGAGCTAGAGAACGATCTCTGGGGCGGTTGCGGCGTCTGATGGTACCCGCGCGCACTCCCACTTCCACTCCCGGATTGTTTTTTCGCGGACCCGGTCCTCTTGTGTTTCTTGCCGGTAACCAGCACGGTGATGGCTCCGCCGCGACTAGCGGGCGCGGGCGCACAGTCCATGCTGGAAGATTGCTCGGAGCTGAGCGAGTCGTTCCTCAACTCTCCGCGGCCGCCCGTCATCGTCGCGTACTGGTGTGATCTCATCAGACCCTCTAGTTCTCCGCGGTAGTATCGCGCCTCTTCCTCGCGGCTGGCGTCCTGCTGACTGTATTGTCGCCTCAGCTGCGAGCCAGACCGCTGCAGCAACGGTTGATTCTCCTTCTCCGCGGCAGAGTGCGCTCGCTCCAGCTTGGGCCGCTTGTCTTGTTGCTGCAGATCCGCCTCGATACGCCGCATGATCGGGTCGCCAGCTGACATTCCCTTGTTGATCCACTGACCCGTCTTGCTCAACAGCTCTTGCTTCTTGCGGCAGAGGATGCACACCCAGATCACCTGGGGACAAATTCACTGGTTAGTTATTTAACAAGGTATTTATCAAGATAATTGCACTTCCAAAAGTTCACCAACTACAGTGAGTAGATTTTTGATTGTTTGTTTGTATTGTCTAACTACGCCAAATCTGTTGTTAAAGAAGGTAATACAAACACTTTTAGGGTAAAACTGTCCAAGCACATTAAATCTTTTGTGGATAAGTAGGGAATCGAACCCATCCCTTCTGCACCAAAGTCCGAGATGCCAACCACTAGGTTAGCAATAGACCCTTTAACTTGGTTTGTGACTGGCCCCTTCTGTCTTTGACAATTGGGCGTCGTGTAATGATCATGGCTAAAGAAACGGCCGATCTTTGGGATTGAACCGACGACCTTCTGGTTTCAAGGCGATAAAATTCCCACATCGATCCTTCCCTTATATTAGGTGTGTTGCCAGCTTGTGGTTAGCGTCTCGAACGTCTCCCAAAAAACAGTACCTATTCACGATTATTTCAATGGATTTGGATCGAATTCTATTATAGAGTGTATGTGTCAATTTGGTTCATAAAAAATTTTAGTGGTGTTGAACGAAAAAAAAAAATCAATAAAACGCAAAAATTGAAAAAAGGTTCTCACGGAGATTTTGTATATACATTTTTTATGCACAGTAATGGTAACATAGGCCACAGCCTTCATGGTACGGCGATAGAGTAAACAGCAAGTGGCAGTGGCTGTGCTACAATCGATAAGGCAGTGGTTGGGAGTGCGGGGAGGAGGAGGGGTTCTTGACGTAATTCTGCCCATTCACCCTGCCTCTGACATTGCTGCGAATTCCACGTTCGGTTGGCAACGAAGAAGGTGAATGCAATTTTATTTTAACGTAAGACTGAGATAGTTTCATCATTTTAAAATAAAACTCAGCCAAAACTAGTAAGATATGAAATAATATATTTGCCATTGCACTATGTAAAAAGTCTAAAACAACATTTTCTGAAAAATATGAACTAAATATCAATTTATTTGCTAAATTTATTTCGCAGACAAATCGTCAATCGTCTACAAACACAAGCTGTGTCGTGGCCGCCATGCAGCCTACATCGGTTTGTCCCGCGTTTCTAGTTTGTTTGGCTGGCCTAGCGTGTATTGAAATGTGTGCAAAGTGCGTGTTAATTGATGAAGACCTATCGGATTTTGGAAAACCATAATTTTGTTGTCGTATTTGACATTAAGTCCTATGACCCGAAACTATTAATCCTCAGACTATTATCATTGACAATTAAAGCTCTTTAATTATCATAAGACTGAATACGGGCAAAGGTCCGTAACTTATCATTTGTTCAGTTTGTCAAACCCCTATGTGATTGATATCGCGTGTAGTATGATTAATTTCTTTGGAATTGACTATACTTTCGATCCGATGGATCTGGGTTAACAAAGTTCAATAGCAATAGAACATCATCTTACTAAAACTCTCCAGCTCCAGTTAGGTCTACGTTTTCACTGACATGAGTTTACATGGCCAAAGTTAACTCGGCTTTACTTTGATACCTAATGATATGGGTGAGCATTAAAATTGCACCAACTGACCTGAGTCAGGTAGTCGGGTAATCCTGAATTGCGCCAACTACTCCAGGGAGCCACCCGATACGGTCCTTAACTAAGCCAAGTAGCGGACCTTTTGACTGTATAGTTGAGTAGGTTAGGTTAGGTTAGGATATGTTAGGTTTGGATGACACGTAAACAAGGACAATCCTTCTGCCGGCAACTCACCCCTATCTGGCTTGGGCCGCCAACCGCATGGTAAAAAGCATTAAGCGGTTTGAGAGAGCTTTGCCTGTCAGTTCTTAGGCAGAGCCACCAGCGTTGCCATGCAATAGCATAGCAACGCTGGTGGCGCTGCCTACGGATTGACAGGCAAAGCTCTCTCAAAACACTTAATGCTTTTTACCATGCGGTTGGCATTCTGGGTTATAGTAGTACGTTTTTTGTGCTTGGGCTCGGCGCAACTAAGGAACATTTTTTGGGACCTTTTGAGGGCTTGGCGCAATCAAGGAACTCTTTGGCGCAATTAATGCACGAACAATGATATTTTAGATCTTTTAGATCTTTTAGATCTATTTTAGATCTTGAGCATCGGGATGAACACAAGAAATGGATGGATAAACAAGTTTCCTTTACACAGGATGAGACAAATTGTACGAGTATTGGTAATGATACTGTATTGAGCTCGAAGTAAATTAACCCATATTCTATCAAAAAAGGTTTATTGAGCGAAGCTCTTATACTTCACTCCTGCTTTTGTTTTACAAATACATACTCCTCCTGAATGGCTGAAGTGATCTGCACTAAATTTAGCACAATTATAGTAGCCAATCATGGGAAGGTATGCATCTGAAATGGTACAAATCGGACCACAGGGCTTTACCCTACGTGAATTTAAACTTTTAGAAATTTAACATAGGCCTTAAGGGTTAGTTGGTCGCCATGGCATTATTTGCAAGATAACAATAAAAAGGTAAACAAGAGTAACAACATTCGTCAACAATTAATTTTAAGAAAAACACATTACAAATTAGTACAGAAAAAAGGAAGAACAATCGGATTAATATCGTTGATCATAATTTACTACAAAATGAATAACCAATAATTAGGGTCGCCGGAATTAGGCTAATGCACCATAGCCTACTCCAAATAGCCATTCCATTTATGCAAATTAAATGTACCATTGAGTTTGGATTCAGCAAGTATACATTCACTTTACGTGAATTAGACGTACCAATAATGCAGACTTTTAATACTTCAAATAGGAATTCTATTATTGTGAACCAAAGATACCATTGACGTGAACCAGACCTACCCTTTGGATAATGAAAGTAAAAAATTAATTTACGTTATCCAAATGTGTCATTGAGTTTGGATGCTGCAGTAAACAATTTGTTTACGTGAACCTGGCGTTTTATTGAACTTAAATAGGGCAAATATATATTCCATTTGTGTGAAACAAATATATACCATTGACTTTGGATACTGCAAGTAGATTTCTCACTAAACGAGAAATAATAATGAATAATAAATTTTATATGAACCAGATCATTGACCCTGTTCATAATTGACTTTAGATACTGCAAGTATAGATCTTATTTACAAAAGAACAGATGTAGCATTGACTTTGGAAAAGTATTAGATTAATATGCTAGCTCCACTCAATATTGCAAACAGACAACTGCATACTCTACAAAAATTATCTTAAATACTAAATAGATTCGCATTGTATCTTAAGTTGATTCGAACTCTTAGTTCGATTGCCGTTATAAAAGTCACGATTTATTACAAGAGGAGAATACTGTTTTATTTGACCATGTTATGGGTTGAATAGGAAAGCGATATTCTGTACATAGGACAAGAAAAATATTTGCACGGATTTTTAGGGTCCTATAAAGAAAGTGAGTGTTGTGCTCGAACGAAACTTAATTCTACTAAGCAATGTTACTACAGAGTAGATAATTATATTTACACTACAAACATTAACTTAATAGATTATTGCCAATTAAAATCATGACGCTACTGGGTGTATTTAGAACTCAAATGGATGAAGGATGAGTGTTGTATAAAGCTGTGTAGGTTTTTGTCGTACTGACTAAGATCAGCTGTTTTTCAGTCAGGATTATTTTTTAAACGCCCCAATGATCAAGGACATTTGGGCCCAGTTCTGATCTATCAGCATCAGCAATATTCTAATGTTTCACGCAATTGACTAACGATCATTTGATTCCCAGACAATCGCTAAAACCACTAAAATGAACGGTATCAGCAATCTGACACATACTTTCTCCCATTAGCTTATCAACAACCTACCATGGGTAAGCGGTGGTAGTACCTATGATATTTTATGAGGAAAATCAAAAAAGTCGCCATAACTTTTGAACCATAATTTGTACAGCATTTGAGAATGCAAGGGCCATAACACACTAGATTTCAAAGATAATTGTTCTTGATTCTTGATAGAATCCTATTGTTCTGTTGTTTATGGGAAAATCATAATAAAAATTAGAATTTCCAAAAAAATGAAAAATCTGCCTGGAGATACCATGGACCTACATACTAAAATCAAAACCGGACCACAGACGTAACCTCTAGCTTTGTACACATCCACACACGCACAGACATCCATGTAGCAGCAAACCTAAGTACTCATTAACATTTATGTTATTTAAATAAATCGTACTATTCTTGTGAAAATCCAACCAAGTAAATGGAAATTTGCTATTCTTTAGGTTTTCGGTAGTGGGGCTACTTGTTAACTCAAATAAATAGTAAATTCTTACCTTAGCAATCTTCAGTCGGAAGTTTAGGTAGACCAAATGTTTATTCTAAAATCCACCCGATGGGTTTCGTAGAAATGTTGACATTTAACACAAACACGACACACATTACAATTGACATAAATAATATTCGGAGTTTAGGGATAAAAACCATGGTTTTATAAAACAGTGGTATAACCTCACTTCAGTCAAGGAACACGCTGCCGGCAGAACTAAATTTGGTCTACTCATTTGGTCTACCTAAACTTCCGACTGAAGATGAACCTACGGGTTCGAAATTAATATCGGACAACCATAATACGGATTGCTAAGGTAAGAATTTACTATTTATTTGATTATATAAGCAATCCAGAGGCTGAAATGATAGATGACTTGTTAACTATTGCACCGTCACATAATCAATACCTAATAAAAACTAAGAAATAAACAACTTTAGACAGTGGTGCGTTCTGTGAGTAGTTAAATTATGTTCTTCTTGAATACAAAATTGGTTACAGCTTTACTGACGGAATATCTACCTCAGTATCTAGAAGTCCAATGATAAGGGAACAAACTCAGTAGGACTAAAAATCGACACATTTTTTCGAGAACAATTGACACCTATAACCTTTTTAAAGGATAACTTGGTTTGAAAAGTTTTTAAAACTAAAATGCGATACTTACAAGGTAAACTACCTCTTTGGATGACAAGGCAGTACAAGGCTTCTATGATGTAAGCCTACCTCTAACTATCACAATATGATCTGACTGACACTGACGACGCGCAGGCCAACATCAGAGGTCCAAAGTAATCAAATTCCTCCGCAATGGACTGTCATAACTATACCTAACCCAATCAGCTGGTGAGTGCAGCGTTTTACCTTGTTTGAAACTTTCAACCGCAGAGGGTGTATACGCACACTAATGTTGTTTTCACTCATGCGTTTCGATTTTGGAACTTGTTTGGTTTCACTTTACGCATACCTCTGTTAAACAAGCGGTTTATAATCGGATTAACCGTCTCTGTCCAGGCAAAATACGTCGGTTTATCCGCCATAGATTTTACGATCGAGCTAACCAGTCATTGGCTTGACTAAACAATAGATAAAACGTACTTTTTTAGTACATTCACATCCTTATGGATCAGCCGAATTTATTGTTAGTACCGTCCGATGCACTGTAGAGGTCGTGTTTTGTTTCAATTTGTTTCTTGTTATTTCAGTGATTGAAAACCCCGCGTAGCCAAATAAAACGACATAATCATTAACAATAACTCGTCCCATAGTTATATAACCAGACAGTAAAGCACAAATCAGGAGATTTAGAACAGATTCGTCAACACTAACACTTGCAATCACCGCGTCACCGGACATGAACTAGACACGAAAAACGAGCTTCAAAATTTACGATGGGATGAGAAATCTGCGTGTGTTGGTTAGTCTATGACGAAACATAACCCATTATATATACAGTAGAAGTTTGCTGTTCTCAGATATTTTAAATATTGAACACATTTACGATTTACAAATTGCATCTTTTGAATAAGAAGGCCACCATTATTTCACAGTGCGCTTTCTGCTATGTAAGGTTAGTTTAGTTTATTTCAGTTTAGTTGATGATAATGACATGCAAGGTAAAGTTTACAAAATCAAAAGGTGAATTGTTGAGGCAAATTTACAAATACGTCAATTTGTATTCGTGTGCTGTTTTTCTTGCTAATTTTCCAAAAGGCCTAGTAGGCCACCTTATCATTACACCAAACATTACTAAACGGAAACAAACTAACCTAAAGGGCTCTTTTCGAAAATAGCCTACGAAATCATTAATAAAAAGTGTTTACCTTGTTGGAGCGCAGAGTGACTTTGCCGCCACATCTTGCGCAACATCGGATGTTGCAGTAGTTGCACATGTGGCCGACGCCGTCCGCGAACTTGGTCTTGAGGCAGATGTGACAAGTGGCGTCTAGCTCAACCCCCGCCTTCTTCTGTTGCTCAGAACGCTGTCGGATCGTCTCCTCCAGGACTTCTACTTCGTCCTGCTTCCGCCTGCAACATAAAATAAACGTTAAGCTGCTGCATGTAATACGAGTACGAGTAGTACGGTTGTAAGAGGTGTAACTATAGTCTCAACCACAACTCTTCGTATCCAGGAGTCACTAACTTATAGCCAGAACAGTAACGTTTAAGAACCGTTTAAAGAATGATGAAGTACTTAGGTGGCTCAGTTGAAAGCAGACGCGTGGGCTCACACGAAATTTTATCACTACAGTTCACTCTTGTACTGAACCAGCTTACCACTTGCTTTGCTGGATATGTTCTAAGCTTGAGGCCTATGTGGACTGGGCTGTCAGATACAATGTTAGAATATGCAACTATCCTCTTTTTTAAATGATAAAGGATGTTAGTACTAATTCCAACATAGCAGCAATTAGGGTAGCCTTTACCAGACGAAAATATTCTAATAGGTGTAGTAATAGCTGATTGTAGCTCATATGAGCTTTTTCAACGTCACATCAATTCTCATCAGACAATTTCCATACGTTTCTGTTTTTTCAGGAGCAGATTTTTAAGATATCTGTGAATTAGCCTTGTATCAAGTATTCTCTGTAGCTGAAAAGTGTTTACTTCATTCCCTTAGCAGTGCGCAAACTAAGAAGTATGATCCTCTAGTTAGTTATGGTAAATGTTGCAACGGTTACTTCTCATCCTTGGCTCCCAGTGCTGAGTCATGTTTCTCTTCTTCTTCTGACGCCAATAACAAAGATACATTAAAATGAGAGTATGGCAATCTTGTTTGCCCCAAGCATGCTCGTCTGCCACGACTTCCAATCTGATCAAATGTTTTACGTGGAAGAACGAGGTGCAATAAAAGAATATCTAAGAAAGAAGACGTGTACCTGGCAAAAACTCATTTAAAAGCAATGAATCGCTAGTCATGTTGTCTTGTGATTGTAGGATAATCAGTTGAAAAAAGCATGAGTTTGAAAATTCTACTAGGTAGAGGCAGAGGAACCTGGAAAAGTTGAAATATGAAAGAGGCGAACTAAAAGGAAGGAAAGTGAAAAGAAAATCCGTCCCAATGATCATAGTGCATCGGTGCCAGTTTAGAGGGGGAGCTGTGTAAGTGGTCACAAAAGTTCCCGGTTTAGATGAAGGAGATGACCCACTAAGTGGAATTTGGAAGATTGTTCAGTAACTGGCTCAACGAATTGCCTTGTGAACAAGTCTCTGATTTGGATGGAGGTGATTTATAGGGAGGTGTTAATGGGTAGTACTCCAATAATCTCCCTCCCAAAAGAAAACGTCTCAAGTTACAAAGGTCGGGTACTCGGGTTCAAATCCCGCAGATCACCAACGGCCTTAGCTATGTGTTAATACCACATCTTCATTTTTAGTAAGAAGTCATCTGTAAACGTTTCCGAGCTATACATAGCCTCCTTGGATTTTGAAGGGAAGACAAAAATAAATACCTGCTCTCCATGGACTTTGGTGAAATATATGAAACGTTGGGTGGATGAGAGCTAACCTGATGATCAGAGGGTAGCCGGTTCAATCCTGAGAAAAGTCAGAGCGAATTGCCTCTGCCTAGTTCAAAAGTGGACCAATGTGTCCTTGGATCTTCGGTGTTTTAATAAATGGACCTGAATAACGAGCTAGCATATTATCTTAGTCACAAATATGTCACCTCACTACATTCTACAATCATCATCCAATCATATTTGTCGTAAAACGTGCTCACTGTAGTCATTGGATTAATTATTTAATAAACTGAATTCATGAAAGGTTGTGTATTTCCTGTTCAAACAAAAACTCAATCCAAATACAAAACAATAACACAAAACATATGTTGAACAATTACCACATGTTATTAACATATTAACTACTACTGTCATCCCTCCTTCACATGTAAAAACTCTCGTCTTTTAATATTTTCTAGCTGTTTTGAAACATATTTATGACCATCAAAATAAGGTTGTTGGTCGTAGATGGAAGAAGAGTCTTTGTCCTCCAACTCATCAGCCGCCGAACTGGGGAACCTATGTTACCTCTTGGTGTGTTAGGTTATGGTGATGAATAAGTGCAAGATAAATATCGGACTGTTCTTCTTGACTTGACAATTTGTTTTCCCTCCTTGGACATACCTCTCAGCTAGCCCATTGGATCTGGTAAAATGAGGAGATGAAATTCTATGATTAAATTTCCACTCGGATACGAATTTAGTAAATTCTATAGAAGCAAAACATGGTCCTCCATCAGTTCTTAGTTCATCTGGCATACCATGAGTTGCAAAGTACTTTTTTTGGTGTGTAAAAACAGTGATGCTACTTTGGTTCCTTAGACTTTCACAGTCAAAATATCCTGAGTAACTATCAGCAATTACTAAGAAATCATTACCTCCACATTCAAAAACATCAGCTCCGATGAACTGCCATGGCCTCACTGGTACTGTTTCTTGAAGGATCACATCTTTAGGTTTATCTCGTTGATTTGCTGCATACATTGCACCTTGCTACGTATTGTTCAATATCTCTTTCCATATTTATCCAATACACAATATAGTCACGTGCTGTATTAATCCTTTTAACACATTTGTGAGGATGGTGAATATTCTGCAACACGTTAAGTTTCATTTCATCGGGTATAATCAAACGGCTTCCTTTAAACCAAAAGACCATCATAGCAACTTAGTTCTTTTCTGAAAGTGAAATATTTGACCAATTCCTTGTCAACAGTGCTTCTTTCTTCGGGCCATCCTTTCAATATTATTTCCTTCAATTTAGAAAGCTCTTTGCATTTTCCAACACTAGTTCTGATTCGAGAAACTGTATCAGAATACATAGGAATTATCATTCATTCGTGATCTTTTGCAAGTCTTTTTAATTGTTACTGTGAATGCGTTGAATCATCCATTGAACACTACATTCTTAATTCCTTTGAGCAAATCTGACATAATATACTGGAACACTTCAGGGGCCGATACCAAACCAAAGGGCATGCGTAAACAAGAGTAGCGCCTCCAAGGTGCTAAAAAAGTTAGTAGTTTGGATGTTTTCTTCGTAACTTTTATCTGCTAGAACCCTTTTTTAAAGTCTAGGATGGTGAATAAGTAGAACCATTCAATCTAGCTGAGATGTCCTCTAATGTAGCCAATGGTTAATGTCTAAGGTTTACATTTTTGTTTAGATCAGTTGGGTCAATGCAAAGACATATTTTGTCTCTTTTTTGGACTATGACCATAGGAGACACACAAGGAGTAGGCTCACTTACCGGAGTAATAATCTTGTCTTTTACCATTTGGTCAAGTTCTGCTTTCACTGCGTCACGTATTGGATGGGGTATTCGCCTGGGTGGGTGTATTTTGAAACTAGGATTTTTCATAAGATCTATGCCATAGTCAAATGACTATAAACACCTCATATAAGCCACTTATAGACTGATCAACTATACCAGCAATCCGTTTGACAAACCCTAATGTTTCACATGAATACTCTTTCTAATATTGATTTATGTACATACAATTACAAAAAAAGTTTCTTTATATGAGACTTTTTGGTTACAACTGAATAGATGGCTTCGCCCAAACCTGGCGTTTTTTTTTTTGTTTTTTTTTTTTCAGAAACAAGGCAGTCAACTGTGTATTGTTTTACACCATAGTTGTAAATTATTTTTCTCTTGATTATTTTTACAAAAAACTCGGTTTTTATAGTTAGTTTTTGTTTTTATAGTCATAAATGAATGTGCGTTAGTATTCCGTTATGCTCAGTTACTTTCAGACTTGATTTGATGTGTAACGTGGTAACTATTTAGACTTTTGAAATGTCATAACCTGTACCGTTTGATTTGTTTACGTTTATCTATCATTTCTCTTTTGAAATGGCCGACGAAGGTGTGAATTACACCAACTCGCACCTCTCTGACCACAACTACTCCAATACCGAGGGTTCTCTTTCATCTGAAATCATCGATGCTATGATTGATTCTCCTAGCAAGATAAACACGTCAGAAGACGATACAGACAACTGGCAAACGATTCCCAAACGCAGAAACGTTGGAGAAGTTTCTAATAGAAACCAAAAAAAGGCCAAACAAGACATGAACACGCCTATTGAAGTTAGCAACAGTTTTGAAGTATTAAATGTAGATAATGAAGACATGGACTCTAACATCCCGACAAATTTTTCTAAAAAATCATCAGAACCTAAGCCTCCACCTATTTTTATTCCTGATGTGGGTAATGTGAAGGCAATGATTCAAACATTTGAATCTGTCGTTGACACTACTGCTTTTGCCTACAAATGCATAAATAACAATTCAGTTAAGATTCTTCCAACATCTGCTGATATTTATAGAAAAATAGTGAGAAAACTTAACGAGAGTAATGTCAGCTTCCATACATTTCAGCTTAAACAAGATCGAGCATACAGAGTTGTATTGAAGAATATGCACTATTCAGTTGATACAGAAGAACTAAAAGAAGCACTACGACAGATGGGTCATGAGGTAAGAAATATTTCTAATGTACTTCATTCAACCACCAAACAGCCACTGTCAATGTTCTTTGTTGATTTAGAGCCTAGTTCAAATAACAAAGACGTCTTCAATATTCAGTATTTGTTACATGCTAAGATAACTTTTGAACCCCCTTATAGGAAAAGGGAAATTGTTCAATGTAAAAGATGTCAACAATATGGTCACACAAAAACCTACTGTAGGCATCCATTTAGATGTGTTAAATGTGGAAAAGAACACGATACAATCAAATGCACTAAAGACAATTATGCACTACTCCTGCAATATGCGCCTTGTGCGGAGGAGATCATCCAGCAAATTACAGGGGATGCATGGTCTTCAAAAATATCCAGAGTCGAACACATCCCCAGGCTCGAGGAAGAACTACCGTACCAAACCAACCTGAAGTTGCTCAATCATCACATTCTGCCTCTTCTGACAATCTAACACGTCCTGACGTTTCGTATGCGGAGGCAGTTAGCAACTCACGAGTAAGTAACAAAACTAAACCCAGCACAAGGTCTGATAATGTGAAT